CTTTTAAAATTTCGTTTTCCTCAGTACACTTGGGTTAATTGAAAAAGAAAATATAAATCAAAGCAGAAGAGTGTTTTCTTTTCAAGGATGAATACAAATGAATGTCAAAGACTTTCAAGCTATTTAGTTTCTTTACTGAAATCAGAGCCATCAAAGCAGAATAGCTGTCTTATATTCTTTTGTGCCATATTTTACATACATACTTCCTATTGTAGTGTGGGGGAATTGAATAATTTATCTTTAGGGACAAGAGGTTAGGTTACAGTCAAGCTATTTGCATTTTCATAGTACTAGTGATATTTGTAGTGCACTGCGAAGGTTTCCATCAGTGTAAGGTTAAGAGATGTGTGCTAAAATACCAAATATTATGTATTGATAAATTGCAATAAAAATAAATGTGTAGTGATAATTAGTAGAAAATAAGTTTCAGTTTCTATATGTGAAAAAAAATAGTATTTATAGAATGTGCCTGGTGGAGAGATTTGTGCAGGTTTTAGAGTTTTCTAACCATAATAGAGATTTGATTTTATTATTGTTTGAAAGAAGCAGTAATCACAGCAGCCTGGAGGATTTTTCAGTGGTGTGGTAACCTTTTCAGAAAAGGTGGTAATCCTTCTGACAACAGATATATAGTGCTTAGTTGAGCTGGCAGCTGGATGGTGCGTATCACAGCTGTTGACACACATTTAAAGTTCTCTTAAATTTTAATTTTCCAGGGAAGTCCTGGAAAGACAGTAGTGATTTTCCATGGTGTATCCAGCTGGAGGTATGTGAGGAAAAGTTTTTAGTAAGATATCTTTAAGGTAGTTATTGGTGAGAAATGGATTAGACAAAGGCTTATGAAGGTGAGTGAGAATTAGCTTGTGATCTAAAAATAGCAGCAGATTTTTAATAGTAGTGACTGGCCAGAAGTTTTCACGAGTACTGTTCCTCTTACTGTGGTTTACTAACGCTGATTTAAATGCATAAGATACATCATACAAATGTGTTTGTAGCAGGTAGTCAAAAAAGTGACTAAAGCTAAGGGGGGTGTGGTGTATGTGTGTGTGCTAATTGTGTTGTGTTGACTACTAAGGAGGATGACAGGCTTGCATACTAAGTGGTATGGTGACTACTGGGCAGGATGAGCCCTCTCCTGCCAGCAAGGTTTTTGGCCGATCAGGTGTACCGGTACAGTTAATTTATTTCTGATGGATAGGATTACAACTTCTGGCATTTGATCCTGGCAGTGAAATTAGATCCCTTCAGCAGGGATGAAATTAATTAGAAAGGGAGTTTGATAGTGCCAGTCAACATAGGCCAGTAATGAAATTAGTTACTTTTATCTATAGGCTGCTTTCACAGAAGGAAAAAGTTGCATTTTTAGGAAGGTCCTCATTGTTGCATGTGGCCTAGTAGATACCACATGCAGGGCACCCATGTAAAGCTTTTCCTTCATGAATGGCTGGAATGGATTGAGGGTCCAGTGGATCTTTACGTTACGGTCAGCCATAAGTGGTGTTCCTATATTCATGTCTTAGCAACAAAATAGAGAAAAGGCAATGATTGCTTGTAACAGGCAAGGTTAGATAATGTTTGTGTAAGAGGTATAAAAATATAATGTGAAATCAGATTCATAGAATCATAAAATCTTTTAGGTTGGAAAAGACCTCTAAAATAATCAGGTCCAACTGTTAACCTAACACTGATAAATCCGCCACCAAACCATGTCCCTAAGCATCTCATCCACAGGCTTTAAATACCTTCAGGGAAGGTGACTCAACCACCTGCCTGGGCAGCCAGTTCCAATGCCTGACAACTCTTTCAGTGAAGAAATTTTCCTAATATCCAATCTAAACTTCCCTTGGCACAACTTGAGGCCATTTCCTCTTGTCCTATCACTTGTTGCCTGGGAGAAGAGACCAACACCCACCTCCGTGCAACTTCCTTTCAGGTAGTTGTAGAGAGCAGTAAGGTGAGCACATCCTCCTCTCATTAACACAGTTCATGCTAGAAAAAAGGGGGGATTTTTTTAGTAAATCTTTCACCAATTCTTCAGATGATGTGTTTTCCTGATAGGAGTACATTTACCTCAGCTAAAAGTCCAGAATAAGTGTCTACTCCTACATAATTTCCGTCTTTTTTTAACTTGTCTCCCACCCATGACTTTGTGGCAGCAATGTTTCTAGGAGAGATTTGTCCACTATTCTTTCCATCCATATGAGGACACTGTGACAGGGACTCATATGTATACACACGTGTGTGTGTGTATATATATACATATATATATACTCCTACATGTAGCTAAAATAATTCTTACTACTCTGTTGTTTATATTGCTGTAGATAAATATATGAAGATATTTAATCATGAAGAACATGTACCTGCTACAAGGCAGGTGTAAGATTTGTCAAACTAGATTCTGTATGGTTTTGTGTGTTACACAGTTCATGATGAAATTGATCCTATAAACCAGACTCAATAGTGTGTTTTGATGTTTTGAAAAAAATCTATGCAAAAATCTGTGGCTGTGAATACAACTTGATCCATATGGTGGAGTATACACAGTGTGAGTATTAACACTGGACTATGTGTGCATTCCATGTGCACACATATTTGTCTCAATCTTGCAGTGACATCCACAGCGATGGATACCATATCTGTTGAGTGCCATTAATTGCAATTAGATTTGCACAGAGATAAAAGATTTTTCCTGTATAAGGCACAGAATTAGGTAGGGGAAATTAAGCACATTTTTATTGTAGGAATGGAAGAAATTTTCAGTGTTTTAGGGAATTTACTATTGGTAAAACTTAATTTGGGATGTGGCATATTTTTCATCAGCTGAAATATTTAAATGAAAAATATTTATCTTCCTTAAAGTAAGTTTCCACATCTAATTTCTGTTGCCTAAATGAAAACTGATATGCCTTTGCAAACTGTCTGCGTTCTGGGAGTTCTGTTGTCCTAATTGTTCCTGTTGGCCTTTTGGATTTTAGACTTACGAAACTCTGTTTATGTCACATTGGAACGATTCAACTTGAGTCCCCAGTAGCAGAATCCATAGAGTTTTTGTTAGACTTACAGAGGTTATGTTTTGTGCTGGTACTAACATGACACTTGAATAAGACAGATAGGACATCTTAGATTTATCATCAGCAAATAGGCATCCAAATGATGCTTATATTACTTGTCATGCTTCACAGGAAGAGTTGTATTTTTGCAAGATTGAATTAGTTTCCTCATTTGTGGTTGCCATTGTAAGGCTAAAGTACTTTACATGGCAAGACTGGGTCCAGATCTTTCAAGCACAGTGTAATGACCTCATGTGGTACCTTAGACAGAATGCCAATTTGCCAGTCACCCCTCTGTGCACACTCTGCTCAGACAATTGTGGTTTTCCCTTGCTGAGCAGAGACCACATTTCCTTTCTGGTTCAGATGAGATTTTCTCTCCTACTATCTGGGTAGAGCATTCTACTTTCCTGGGCACCAAGGAAAGCCTGTTTTTCCTTCTCCCCTTCATGAAGTTGAAGCCTTTTCTTTCCTTATCCCTTCTAGGACAACTGCGGCAACAACAGGCCTGTGTCTTTGCTTTCCTTTTTCCTGTCCTTCCCAACACTAGGCAGGATCTCCTGGTTACTGCCTGCAGGGCTACCTTTCAGGATCAGTGGCCATTTGTAAGAGTAGAAAACATTTTAAAAGGGTTCTTAATTATAAAGATAGAACTAAATGTAGGAGGAAAGAGCTGATAAAACAAAAATAGGTTCACATAAATATTCTCATTACTTAAAGCTTGAGCTGATTTATCTTATCCCAGAGAAGGCCCACCTCTTGGTCTGTTATCCACATCTGTGATGTTTGTTCCACTTTCCTGCAATTAACTCCTTCAGATCCATCTGAGGTGAAAAACTAAGTATGGATCTAAACATATCTGGAAGTAGCATTTTGAATGCTTGTACCCTGTTTGGATTGATAAAGGCAGGATCTGAAGCTCCAGTTGGTTTTTTTTTCCCTATGAAACAACACTCTGTATTTAATTGATCCCTTCTAATCACATAGGAAACAATGTTGTATCAATCAAAAAGAACATATTCATGGTATATTCCAGACACATCCGCTGCTAAAATATTGCATATAACAAAATCACATGCTTCAGTTGATCATTTGTCAGTGTCCAGAAAGAATATCTGCTGCTGAATATTTTTTCATCTTCCTCTGAAGCCTCAGAAATTGTCTATGTCTATGTGCCATCTATGGCAAAGAGTCAACACTTAATGTGGTACAGGAACTCCATTCTGATATCTAGCTGGTGTGTTTTGCTCAAATGCTTGGGTTAACTTTATTGCCATCCCTATAGGGATGGGAAGGATTATTTTTTTTTCGTCAAGTCAGACAGGCAGGACTTTGAAGCTCTTTACTTTCTAATTTATACAAAAATGTTTTCTGAGCTCAGGTCTTCTGAGTTCATCTGAGTTAGACAAGTGCTGCCATTGGGTCTTTGTCTGTCATGTTTTGTGCCATTGGCACACATTATAGTTGTTTTGGGAGCTGAATTGTATGTTTTTAAGAAACAATGGCTGCTAAAAGATCAGACTAACTGAATGATCCATCTAGGCTTAATTTCTGTGTTGATTATAAAACCCTATGAAATAGATGTATATGGTCAAGTTATATCACTGTAAAATTATTATAAAGGATTATAAAATTTTGGTATTTGTAAAGTTGTTATGACTACAAAGTAGCATAAGTATTTGTATTCCATATTATATAATGTTATATTAACATTTTTCTTTAAAGCTGTTTTTGATTTAAAATGTGCACCATAAGCCAATTTGTAGCATGACATGTTTCTTTAGTACAGAAAATGTGTGAGCACATTTACAAAGCAATGCAATGAATGGACTTTTTTTTTTCCTTATCAGCTGATCATTCTATCATTTCATTAGCATTAACTGTATATTTCTGCTGCAAGAAATATAGACAGTAATCTTTTTCTTCTTTCTTTTAATGGCTGTTTAGGAAAAGAAGCCCATCAATATCAAGAGAACAGAACAGAAGATACGACCAAAGGGACGAGAGAGACGAATATTCACAGTATGCTACATCAGACAGTGCGATGCCCAGGTCACCATCAGATTATTCAGATAGGCGGTCGCAGCGTGGGCCTCAGTTATACGAAGAACCTGAACTGGGTGATTATAGAGATTCCAACAGAAGGAGTCGCAGGCGTTCCAAGGAGTATCCGGTAGAAGAGGAAGATGCACAAAACAGGGAAGAATATGAAAGGCAGCGGAGGGAAGAGGAATACCAGGCACGATACCGAAGTGATCCTAATTTGGCTCGTTACCCAGTCAAGCCACAACCATATGAAGAACAAATGCGTATCCATGCTGAAGTTTCTCGAGCACGTCATGAACGGAGACATAGTGATGTCTCATTGGCAAATACAGAGTTGGAAGATTCTCGAATGTCTATGCTGAGGATGGAACGACCGTCGAGACAAAGATCAGTATCTGAGCGCAGGGCTGCCATGGAAAATCAACGTTCATACTCTATGGAAAGAACTCGAGAGGCTCAGGGACCAAGTCCCAATCGTCAGAGGACCACAAATCATAGTCCTCCTACACCTAGGAGGAGTCCAATTCCTCTGGAAAGACCAGACATGAGGCGGTCTGATTCATTAAGGAAGCAACACCATTTGGATCCCAATTCTGCTGTACGGAAAACAAAGCGCGAAAAGATGGAGACCATGTTACGGAATGATTCACTCAGCTCAGACCAGTCTGAATCTGTCAGACCTCCACCACCAAAGCCTCATAAAACAAAAAAGGGAGGTAAAATGCGCCAGGTTTCATTAAGTAGCTCAGAAGAAGAATTGGCGTCCACTCCCGAGTATACGAGTTGTGATGATGTAGAGATTGAAAGTGAAAGTGTTAGTGAAAAAGGTAAGACTTCTACTTTTTGGACTGTTTCAACATATAGATGTAGTTTAGTTTCCGTTCCATTGTATGTTTATTTTACCTGTTACAATTGATTGCAACGACATAAGTACAGCCCTTCACAGGTGATTCAAGCTTGTTGTGATGGGAGTTGTTTTTTGATTTTGTGTTTCATTTATGTAAATATGAATTTAATTATTTACATGGCAAAGAACATCATAGCAACTAGAAATGTTTGGATATGTTAAAGGAAAAAACATGCCTATTGAAAAACCTGTTAATTAAATCTGCAAAGTATCTAAAGCTGGGTTGTCATATAAGGCCATGGTTTCATGTCCATTAATACCAGATTTACTGACTCCTGGATCACAATGGGTGCATATTTGATCTGGATCAAGTGTGGGCACATGACCGCATTTCTGTTGAATTAACTAGAGCACATGATCCAGAGCTTATGCCAGTTTCATGCTGGCTGCTGCAGGTTAAAGAGCATCTGATCTGAAAAAAACCCCTGTGTGTATAAAGTTAACCCGTTTGAGTTTTTAAACAAATTTAAAATGACTGATGTGGTTTATACCAATGGAGGTTTCTTTTTGTTGTGATGTTATGGTGCCTTTCGGTTTTAGTGCTTCTTAGGATTCATGATGTTGGGGTTATTCCGTTGTCAGAAAGAAAAGCTAAGATTAACTGAAATTATTCCCAACCTATCCAGAGGTAAAGTATGACTTAAATACGAATGTATTAGGGACCATTAACTTAAACTGAATCAAATTAATAATATTAGTCTGCTTACCTTCATGTATGTTGTTGGTTTAAACCTGTTTTCAGTTATTAATCTTATGCTAGTGCACTTTTACTAGATCTCATGAATGGTCATCTGCTGTTGTGGATTGGAAATAGAAAATTTGCTATTTGTTAATAATATTGCTATCAAATTGGTTCTGAAGCAAGTAACTAATTAGACTTAGTGAAATAAGTCTGAATTGTCATATGTCAATAGCAGCAATCTTGGTCTGATTAATAAGGAGCAAGACAGTGTAGAGTAGAAGGAAATCTCCCCCGGTTCAAAGTAAACAGTTACATGCACCTACAGGAAACAACTGTGATGAAACCTCGACCTGCTTAAGTCTTCCTGATGTGTAGAAAAACTTCTATCAACTTCAGGGTGTTCACAGTTTTGTTCTTAGCAGCAATATTGAGGAAAATTGACCCAATCAATGTATGTGAAGTAGTAACAAAGTGTTTATTTAATGAAATTCAGCATCGTAATCATAGTATACAGAATACTATACAAGCAATATATTTTTTCTACATGTAACATACAAAACATATACACTTAAAACATACTATACAAACGATGTTAGAGTCTGTCATCATAATAATCTGACATAAATAATGTCCATAAATACTTTGTATTTTAACTGTCAAAGAAAACACTACTATTGATGACAATAGTTAATGATAATGTCATGTCTGTGCTGATTTCTGAGTTAGCGAATGAAACTGAATTGAGCATGTATTTTATAAATGAAAGAAAAAACTTGCAAAATTTTACAGGAAAAGAATGTTCTCTTTTATGTTTTGTTAATCTTGACTTATTACTGTAAGTAGTTTTCATGACATACAGAGCGTAGCTGTATCAGCATGGCCCCGTGGTGGCCTGTGGCCAGAACCAGTGTGGAGAATAGCCTTGTATTTTCATAGAGGAAGAGAGCAACTGGTTGAACTGGGGAAGAGGTCTGACTGCTTCCAGCCTGAGACGGAGGGTCATGCTTCTGTCCTTGTTGATGGGCTGGGAGGCAGTGACCATGCATGGAACAGGCAGCCATCCCAGCAGTAGCACCTGTACCTGGAGCCAGAGCCAGCTGGTGCCAGCCTCAGAAGCCCTGGTCACATTATTGGATGATATCCTCAGCCCCATTCATACTTCTCCCCCACTATTTAACCACTGGAGAGGAAGCTCCAGAAAAGTGAGTGGATTTGGGAAGATTTGGCTTCTGCTAGGCATGGGGGAGGAGAGAAGAGATCTGCTAATATGATGAGGGAGAGGGTGTCTCACCACCTGAATCCAGCCTTCTCAGCTTCTATAGGTAGACCCACAAAGTCCTACCTCATTCTTATTTTCATGAACTAAACCAGCCTGCACTCAGAGCCCATATAAGCAAATGATTTCCTCATGAATACCACCAAAACAATCCAGCACATAAATGTCCATCAGTCTTCCTTGTATTGCAATACATGATTTCCTTAGTTGATAAAATAAAATTAATTATTTTAAACACCTCCTATAAAAGTAGTTTTCTCCTCCCCAGAAATTACTTGCTTTCTGCCCTCCAAAAACTCCCCAGACCTGAGGATTTTTCAGCTGCCCTTTTAAGCCACATACCAAGTCTGTTTGGCCAAAGATATAATGCTAAATATAAAACATGTGGCCTTGGAGTGTTGAGGGGTGGCAAATTAGAGTCAGAATTTGAATGCAGTAATAATGAGTTCTCCAAAAGAGGAGATTAATTTGTTCCCCATCTCTTTCTCCATGGAGTACCCGTATCTTTCACAGATTCTGCAAATAAATATTAACAACTGCTCAGCTGTGAGGAGCAGCCTGGGCCTGAGCTGCAGCAGCAGCTGTTAGCTGAATTACATCTGACATTTACAAGGCCCTGACATTGGTTTTGAGAAACTAATCTTAAATTTGTGAATTATCTGAAAATGCAGGAAGAATTATAATCAGATATTCTTAAAAGGTCTGAAGGTTTGATTTTTTCAAATGATCTCCAAAATGAAAGGGCTTGATACATGTATATGGTTGAAACATACATATGCAGACAAAATGAAGATAGCCATTTCATTTTACAAGTCCAACAGAGACATGGACCAGCTGCTGGATTAAGACCTCTGGGAAGAGAATCCATTATTACTGAATGCCCATGACTTTAAGTATTTGGCTCTGATCTCATTTCAGTAGCTGCCTAAGGTAATTTTTCCTTGATTTTAAAAATGTAATCAGGTTATTTTCAGAGAGGGAACAAGGCAAAATTATTTTTCTGCATGTTTCTGGTAATGGCCAGAGAAACCATTGCCTTGGAATGCTTCTGCCTCCTTTCTATGGGGGAGACAAGGGAAACTGAGCAGAGAAATTTGATGAATATCCGGACAATACTCAGGCACTCAATAGACAACCATGTGAAACACAGGCGCAGTGAAGAAGCATTGTAGATGGAAATTCAGCTGCAGAAGAGAAGAGCTAGATTCTGAAGATACTGCATGGTTTTTGTAAGGCAACTATATTTGGACCAGGAAATTCAGGTCATAAACTAGGCTGAGGACTGGCATATTGGAATGGGGATCAGGAGGCTTCAGGAGGATGAGCAGACAAGGCGAGGAAATTTAGAAACTGCAAAATAAAATGTCATTGGGTGGCTGGAATCCAGTGGATTGAGATGGAAACTGAGGCTGAAGAAGAAGAGGGGAGACTGAAGCTGGTATATGAAGTAGGCTAAACCTGTGATCTGTAGTTTGAGAAGAAAAGATAAAGCAAAGGAAACAGATCTGATAAAGGAAACTGGGAAGGTGAGAACTGGAGCTTCCTGAGCAGTATGTTAGAGGATTCTGAGACTGGCTGAGAAGCAGAAGCAGAAGCAGCATTTTGGAAGAGATGGTGAGTGGCTGGGAAAAGAGCACTCAGGCAGAAGGACAGGAGGGATGAGCTGGGTTGGGAGCTTTGGCAAAGAGCAGCCAGGACTCCCTGAGCAAGGAGAGTAGGCCTGGCAGCATTGACCTGAAGTGCTGAGAGGGGATTTGGTGAGGTGAGAAGCACAGGACTATGGTGAGTATCCAGGGGTGTGGCAGGCCAGTTCATTCTTTAATGGTCAGGAAACAATGCATGAGAACAGTGTTAAATGGACATAAATGAGATTACAAACGTGAAGGTTATGTTGTGACAGAATTAGACATATTTTGCAGATTGAAGCTTGTGCACATCTTCATACACATTAAAAATGTCCGTAGTGATGTAACTGAATACTAATTTACCAGATGGCCTCTTCCCTTTTCTGTGCATAGGACGAAAAATTCTTACTTATTGTGTTACTCAGAATTTTCTGAAACTTCCAAGATTTTTTCCAAATTATCTAAGGGACCTTCTTTACTCTGGCTGTGAATACCAGGCTTCTGAAACTGCAAAGACAGTGCCTGATTTTGCAATGCTTGTTGCCAGTCCTGGACATCAGGGTAGCTGTATCTCCGCAGCTGCATTTCATGTCTGTTTTAGGAAATACACTTTGCGGAAGGAAAAAAAAGAAGGTGACCATATGGTTTCAACCCAAATATAAAGTATATTTCTATTTTTCCTAATACTGAAAGAAAATAATTGCTTAAAATGCTAGAGAAAAACAATTCTTGACATGCAGTGCTTTCATGAAATTGTAAAATTTAGATGGCAGTAAAATAGATCCTCAAGCAGTAAACATAAAGAACATCATGACTTACATTTCATAGAATTATAGAATCATAGAATCATACACTGGTTTGCATTGGAAGGAATCTTCAAGATCATCTAGTTCCACCCCCCCTGCCATGGGCAGGGACACCTTCCACTAGACCAGGTTGCTCAAAGCCTCATCCAGCCTGGCCTTGAACACTTCCAGGGATGGGGCATCCACAGCTTCTCTGGGCAACCTGTGCCAGTGTCTCACCACCCTCTCCATGAAGAATTTCTTCCTGATATCCAATCTAAATCTCCCCACATGCAATTTAAACCCATTACCCCTTGTCCTGTAGCTACAGGCCCTTGTAAAAAGTCCCCTCCCAGCTTCCTTGTAGGTCCCCTTCATGTCCTGGAAGGTGCTATAAGGTCTCCTCGGAGCCTTCTCTTTGCCAGGCCGAACAACCCCAACTCTCTCAGCCTGTCCCCATAGCAGAGGTGCTCCAGCCCTCTGAGCATCTTGGTGGCCTCCTCTGGACTCACTCCAATTGGTCAATATCCTTCTGATGTTGGGGGCCCCAGC